TATTGTTTTCAAAAGTAACTTATAGTACAAAAATTATTTGAACTAGAAATTTGTGTACTACAAGTCTACAAACTTGCTTCAGAAAATAATAAGAAGTTATCCCAAACGAAACCTTAATGAGTATTATAAATCTTTTTTTTTTTTTTTTGACTAAGTTACTTTAACAAGTATCAAGTAATCATAAAATAATATAGCTAAATTAAACCACCACATAGGTTTTATATTTAAATATAACAAGTTAGCAACATCGATCTCAAGCTAAATTAAGTAAAACCAAGAAGATAAAAATGCCAACAGGGGATAGCCCTGAGTTGTCAAGCACCAATGCACAAGCTTGTTGTTGGAGTTCCACCACAGATCAGCTAACAAATTGCATGATGTGGTAGTAATAATATCATTTTGAAAACAACTGCCTCACCTTTATATGGAAATACAACTCATAGAAAGACATTTGTTCAATATACAAATATTTGAGATTTTAAAATTATTTTAGCTTTATGAAAAAAATCTCATATTATTGTTTTATTTTCACATATAGGCATCACTAATTTATATCGAGCCATTTCTTATAAATTCATAATATATCATGCACTACAGGAAAAGCATCTTTCACTGGCGTAAATTGACGAATTTTCGAAGGCTTTATGGCTAATATTTTTCCACCGGTAAAAGTCGCATAGGAAACTACAACCGGATGGCTAATTTCCGGCTACTTTCCAACGGAATAATGCTGTCGGAAAATAAAAAAATTAATTAAAAAAATCAGGCTGCCCGCCAGCCCAGCTACCGGGCCGATCCCGCTACCCGCATGCACTAGGATTCAAAGTGAGTATGATTTCAATGACACAACCAATTTGTTGGAAGGGCAAAAGTGTTTAAATGTCACACTTTTTAAATTTAAAATATAAGAATTAAAATCTGAAATAAAGCCATCAGAAATTTGTAGAAAATTAGTTAGACATATTTTGCCGGAAATATGTTAGAAAGCCGCTAGAAAATAGTACGCTGGTAAAATCCGATGGTAATGAGCGATTTTTCTGTAGTGGTCTAGGCTATGTTAATCATATCATTGTAAGGGAAAAATTAAGGCTTCGTTTGTGACAGCTTTCTTTTTATGCTTCATAAAGCAGCTTTCTAGTATAAATTTTTTTTTTTAATTTTGTACTAAAAAACTGCTTTAAAAAGCAGAAAGAAAGTCATTCAAAATGAAACCTAAGTTAAAAAGTCATTGATTAAGAAAATGGTCTAATCACCAAGCTCTCTAAGGCTTTAAGTCACCCGCATTATGTCTCAAACAAGTCACCCAAGAGTTAGCTCTAACTCAACTATGAGTAGCAAGCTTTCTAAACTCGCCCAAGAGACTCACGATTTTACTTATTTCTAAAATTATTCTCCCAAAGAAGCTGATCAACTCACCATGAATACTAACCACCCAATTAGGTTTTATCATTAAAAGCACTCTCAAAAAGTACTTGATCACAATTCAAAACTCGTTCGAAATTTTCTGGACAAACTGCTGACTACGTGCCTAATTTATCAGCTCCACAACTAACTAAATCAAGTATTTCAATCTTCAAATTATCTATTTAACCGAGTTATGTACGTTGTGAATTCTATAATGTCAACCTTGATCCTCATTTATATATAAAGGGTCATCGATCAAACTCAAAAATAAAAAAAGTTATTTGAATTCTCAATAGATTCAATTCGATTTATCTTTTCCTTATTCGAAGTGGTTTTGCTCAAAATCCTAAAAACTAAGGTTTTGTTTGGGACAGATTTCTTACAGCTTCTTAAACAAGCTTTCTAGTACAATTTTTTTGTACTAAAAAGTTATTTAAAAAAATAGTAAGAAAGACGTCCCAAACAAAGCCTAAATCTCTCATAGATTAATCAAGAGACAAGTTTTCTCTATCTTCTTCTCTTTCTTTTACTTAATTCATTTTATAATAAAAATTTAGTATCTATATCGCATAATAGATCAACCAATGGCTTGTAATTTACAAGGTATGTGGGGACATTAGTGATAGTTAACCGAATGGGGTGAGTCAATACCCACATCTCATGCTGTCGTAGTTGATTTTTATTGTTTTTTTAATTTTATTTTTTTAGGAGCAGTATGCCTTGTACCATTTATTTTCATTAAAAAAATTAAAAAAAAAAACCTCATACAACCAATCATATATATATATATAATCAAGGTTTTAATGACCGGACCAGTCTTATAGTCGATCTAATTCATCATTAAAACCGTTTCTGCATCAAACCAACCAAAATCGTCGGTTCAACTGGCAAACCGCTAAACCGGCCATGGTTCTCTTGAACCTACCGACATTATGAGATTATTAAGTTAAAATAATTTAAAATAAATTATTTGGTTTGATCATTAGAGTAGCTCCAGTGACAAATAAGATTAGAGAGAATCACCTTATATTACTTGATCATATAAAACGTTGACCTTCGATGACCTGATTAGGAGAGTAGATGTATTAGATCTAATCTATGTTAAGAAATATAAGGTAGACAGAAAAATATTTGTTAGAGAGTATTATAAAAAAGGATGGGTTTTATTCATGCAATTGTTATAATAAATGTAAAAAAAAAATTATGTAAGAAATAATAAGAAAATAATTGAAATAAGGGATATATGTAACTTATAAATATTTTAGTTAATAAATTTGTACTTAAAATTTAATATTTTGGAATATATTTTATGTTACTATTTTTTAAACGAATCGACTCATAAATTGATGAATTGAGTTAGAAATAACTTAAATTTGATTTATTTACTCATCAAATTAGACCGAGTGAAGACCTATTTATCGAAATATACAAAAAATATTCTTACTTTTGATATTTATCTAAAAATAAATTATAAAATTAAGGATGTGCCCCATCATTTGAAAGAAGACTCTTGCCATGGAATTAGATGCTGATATCTCTTAATATGTTGATAGAATGAAAAGATATATAGAATATGCGTTTATAAGTAAACTATGAAGATATTATATGCATGACATGTGGAATGATCTATCAAAAATAACATATATGGAGTAAAGTTTAATATTCCCTAAAAGAAAAGTTTCATATAATAATTTGTTTTTCTCATGAAAGTAAAATAAAAGAAGGATAAGGAAGAAAAAAAAGAAGAAAATTTTGACTTTAAATCTTCAGGGTCAATTTTTTGTAAGGTAAGTATGAGTATGATTTTTTGAAATATTAAAAAAATTATTATTAGCCTTATATATATCAAATATGTGAAGTCAACTTCTAGAATTTTTATGTTTTATTCATTTATATCGACACATGAGAATTGAGAAGTTAAACCTATTAAGATTTCATTTGGGACAGCCTTCTTATTTTTGTCTAAAATAAAATTTTAATACAAAAATTTTTTGAAGTAGAAATTTTTTACTCAAAAACCTCTAAGCGGTAACAAAGTTGTATCAAATGAAGTATAAGGCTTCGTTTGGGATGACTTTCTTACTGCTTCTTAAAGCAGTTTCATAGTATAAAAATTTAAACTTTTATACTAAGAAGCCATTCTAAGAAGCAGTTAGAAAGCCGTCCCAAATGAAGCCTAAATGTATTTTTCAGGCACAACCTCTATTGATAATATTTTTTTGGCATATTTTAATTTATTTTTCAGCTAAAATTTTTTGCATGATAGATCTTGTTTGTGTGATCATTTCATATCTTATTAGATATTCTTATTTTCAAACGACACAAACTTTGAAAATATTTTGGCCATTAAATTAATGTTAAGAGTTTTTTATGTATATATGCTTCAAAATTCAAATGCTTGACTTTGGTTCATTTGATCAGATCATTTGGTGTCAATGAGTTCGTCTCTGTGAGACATTCGATTTGATTATAAATTTGGTGAAATGATATTTTGGTTAATCCTGAGTTTAATTCAAAAAATTTTCAATTCTAGTATTTTCTTGAGATTCAAGCTGATAAATTAAATTTTTAGAGATGTATTACTTCTTAATATTTTCAAATCTTCCAAACTCACTGGCTTTTTATGTTTTTTGTTCTAAATATTTTCACATCTACTTATAAATTAACTAAAATCTCATTAATCTTGAATAAATTTTCCTTATAGCAAGATTCAAATAATGTTAAAATCAAACAATTAATCATAAATGAGGGTAATTTCATGCATACCCAATTTGTTATTTACAAAATCATTATTATCCTATATTCTTTATATAAATATCAATATTTAAAAAAAATATTAAAATGGTCATTTAGCTCTTTATGAAAGATTAAAATAGTATCCATCTATATTAAATAACTATTTCGATCACTAAAAAAATAATTCCACCTTAATATTATTTTGATTCATTTTTAAAGAATTAAGATATCAAAATAGTCTTTTAATATAGTCGGAAGTCATTTTAATTCTTTATAAAAGTCAAACCAAGAGATTATTTTGATCATTTTTCCTAATTTTTACTTCCCCCAAAATCCAACAATTTTATTGTATCAAAGAAAAAAGAATTTTTTTTATAGAAGATAATTTTATAAATAGAATAATTTTGATGACTTCTAAAATTTTCTATTTCTAAGCATTTTTAAAGCCTCTTTTTGGATGATTTTTTTTTTTTAATGCTGAGTTATCTGCTTCCTATTGGCTTTCCCGCTCCTCCATGGCAAAATCACAATGCCGGAGCTTCGCCGGGCTCCGGCGATCCTCCGGCGTCTTGCACGAGCGAATACTACCGGCGCGTGAGAACCACAATCCTCCATGCATCAGCGCGCACCATCTCCGCCCCGGGCCCCGCCACTCCGGCGCACTCAAAGCTGCCTCCACGTGGACCCCATATCTTTCCGGGCCCCACACCCCAACAAAATTTCGATTTGGATAAATATAAAAAAAGGTAAATAAACACCCTTCCACCTTGAAATTACCAAAATACCCTTCCAAAACAGCATATAAATTTCTCTTGAGAGCCACCAACTTTTACTTAGAAGAGAGCAACACAATACAACCATTGATAGCTCTTCTTCTCTTCAGCCTCTCCCATCCCCTCTGAAATTCTCTCAAGTTCTAAGCCTTGTGAGAGAGATATATGGCTTGCCAATTGAGTGATGGAAGATGCAACAAAATATTTCAGAGCTCCAAACCTTATGCAGCTATGATCTCCTTGCAATTCGGCTACGCCGGCATGAATATCATCACCAAGCTCTCGCTCAATCATGGCATGAGTCACTACGTATTAGTCGTTTACCGTCATGCTTTTGCTGCTCTATCCATCGCTCCCTTCGCATTAATCCTCGAGAGGTATACATATTTATCGTAATAGCCTGTGTTTTCACTCACACAAAGAACATCTGGCTGATTAATTAAGAAGATAAAATAAACAATTTTTTCAAATTTGATTATGGAACGTTACATTTATAACTCGTCTATTGATCAAATTTTGATCATGACAGATCTCACAGTTACTGGATTTACTTTAAGATGAGTGTAATATACGATGAATTAATCTTCTTGATGTGTTGTGATTGCAGGAAAGTTCGGCCAAAGATCACATTCACCATTTTCATGCAAATATTTGTTCTTGGCTTGCTAGGGTTTGTATTTGTGATAAATTTATCAATAATATCATGAAGATTTCTAGCATACTAATTTTCTCATGTTGTTATTATTGTTAAGGCCTGTGATAGACCAGAATTTCTACTATGCTGGGTTGAAATTCACATCCCCTACCTTCTCTTGTGCCATGAGCAATATGCTTCCTGCCATGACATTTATAATGGCTGTCATATTCAGGTAATGAAATTTTTATTAATATATCTTATAAGATATAATATTCATCTATTTTGAGATAAAAATTTTAAAATTTTGAATAGAATGGAGAAAGTTGATCTGAAGAAGGTGATATACCAGGCAAAATTAGTTGGGACTCTAGTGACGGTGGCAGGTGCGATGCTGATGACACTATATAAAGGTCCGATCGTCGAGCTATTTTGGACGAAACATGTGCATGCTAGTGCAGATGCACCGGCGGCGGCGGCGGCCGCGACTGCGGTTGCTGATGCCACTGACAAGGAGTGGGTCAAGGGTTGTATCTGCCTCATCATAGCCACCCTTGCTTGGGCTTCTCTCTTTGTTCTTCAGGTAAATCTAAGAAACATTTATATCAGATAAAGCTAGCTATCAAAATTTTCATTTTCATGTGCTGATATGTAGAAACTTTGTGATTTCATAAGGCTGCAACATTGAAGAACTATACTGCTCAGCTTTCTCTGACCACATTGGTCTGTTTCATGGGAACTCTGCAAGCTATTGTTGTCACCTTGGTCATGGAGAAGAACAATAGTTCAGCTTGGAGGATTGGCTGGGACATGAATCTGCTTGCGGCCGCCTATGCTGTGAGCTCCATCTTCTTTCATGGCTTCTTATTTCTCGCTTTTTTCTCTCTTCAATGGATGAAGAAATGACAAGGTCATCTCCAACCGAACTCCAAACGCTTGTATGGCTTCGCTAACGACTTCCGCTATTTTGTTACGGGTGAACAGTGGGACGCCAATATTAGCGTTGCATTTTTCATCTTCGCTATTTTTCTGTATCTACCGAACTTGAGAAGAAATGCGCGAAAGAAGAAAACGACCGTTACCTTCACAAAAGGGGGCAAAATGGAGTTCGATTGGAGATGAATCACGACATTTTGGAGTGAAAATGAGATTTTCGGTTGGAGATGCTCTAAGTAGTTTAGGGGTGCCAAAACATTTTTCAGCTCATCGAGCTAATTGTTGTACAGCTTCATATTATGCTAATTTCATCGTTACTAATTATCAGAAGAACTGATATACAGGGAATTGTTACATCAAGCATTGCTTATTATGTTCAAGGACGGGTTATAGAGAAGAAAGGACCTGTTTTTGCTTCTGCTTTCAGTCCTTTGATGATGATAGTAGTGGCTGTAATGGGCTCCTTCATCCTCGCAGAGAAGATCTATTTGGGAGGGTAAGCAAATATCAAACTGATCGAACTGTTTAATATATCTCTTCACCTTCTTCGTCCGAAGACTAAAACTATATATATTGATCACATTGTTTCAGAGTTATTGGAGCAGTTCTGATAGTGGGAGGACTGTACTCAGTTCTGTGGGGTAAGTACAAGGAAAGCAAGGAGAAGAAGGAGAAAGAAGCAATGGCTCTTCCTATGGCGATGACGGTTGAGGCCAAGCAAGTGATGGAAGGAGATGAAGTTGAGATAATGAAGAAGAAGAAGATTTCTTCTTCCTCTGTGGATTCTGTGGCTGTTGCAGTTGCAGAAAGTGTGAATGGAGCTTAGAAGCTGCGCTGAAATTTGAGGGAAAGAGAGCGGACGAGGATGGAGAAGGAGAATTGGAAGGGGGTATTTTGGGGTTTTTATATTATCTTTTATGTTTTTTTTTTTTTTTGGAAGTGCCAAGAAATTTTTAAGTTGTTGGCTTGATAATATAATGGAGAATTTAATAATCCTTCTCTTAATAGGGTTATATTTATAATTTTTTATTTACCATTGCAATTCAAGAATTAGAAATTCAGACGAATCAATTAAGACTGAAATTAAATTGAGTGCCATAGTTTATTTTGATTTAATTATATTGAAATTTAATATTTTATGATTTAATTCTATTGTTTTTTTATTGTAAAAGTGAAATATATAAAACATCATAATATATGAACAAATAATGAGCTTGAATAATATATGAAAAAATAATGAGCTTAAATAGGAGATAAATGAGTTGAGTTTATCTTGAGTCACCACTGATTTGAACTTGAGTCTGATTAATTAATCGAGCTCGAGCTTAGCTCGAGCTTAATTTTATGAGTTCAAATTAGCTCACCAATTGACTCATTTATTATTAAAGAAATAAAATATTTATAATTCAAATAATTATTATAATAAAGAAATGCAATATTATTTTTAAATATTTTTTTACAATTTTGTATACAAGCTCCTGAATATTAATATATTTTATATTAATAAATTTTAAGTGAGCCACTCATAAACTAATTATTATTATTAGAGGTTCAAATTTGTCTTATTAGCTCATAAAGCTCGTCTAAACCCAATAGTTTTTTTTTAGATATTTTAGATAATATAAAAAACTTTCAACTCAAATACATAAATTAAGAACTCAAGAACCTAATTAGTAGCAAAGCTCCCAAGAAGAGACCAGTTGAGTTGCCTAAGACAATTCTAACCACTGTTCGACAACAACGAATGGAGGCCCTCAAACGTCACTGAACTCAACTTTTCTCCGATTTGATTGGCGTCGCACTGGTCATCTGGCCATTTTTTGGGTCTCTAGAACTTGCGAGAAGAAATGCGAGAAAGAGAGGTAACGGTTAGGGGGCAAAAATGGCGTTGATTGGAGATGAATAATGACATTTTGAATTTCAACTATATTTTGAGTGAAAATGAGATTTTTCGGTTGGAGATGCCCCATAAACCAAGAAATTTTTTAATAAAAGTGACAACTTAACGTCGTACGTCGTCATTGCCAATCTAATCTCGGCATCAGCGTAATCCGCCTTGTCCGCTCGCAGCGCCAAAGATACTCTGCCGTCGTTTCGCTTATGATCCGCGCGTCCCAATTAGACGGCCTAATCGCCATCACAAGCCGATTCGTGAGATCAGCCAACTCTTGCTCATCCCCTAAAATCGATTCGGCGGTTATCTGGCAGCATCCCATCACAATTAGCATATAAAATCCGATGATTGCCAGAACACTAGACCGTCCATCTCCAAAGACGAGCTTGCAGGTGTAAGACGAGCCGCTCCCAATTTCACTGCTATATAATATATTATCGTGAAGGCATGGGGAATATTTTGGAATAAATATATAGATGTTTTAATTATGTATGTTCAATAGGCAATTTCAAATATATATAATGCAAATTTCATATATATATATATATTTAGCAAATTATAAGACTCAACCATTATGTTATATTTAAAAATTATTTAATTATTGCATTCGGTCACCGGACGCGGAGAATAGGTTCGGAATTCAATAAAAATTTGCCACGATACATGCGCTTTTGACTTGCGCTTGACCGGGGCGCTTTACCTGCGCTTATTGACATGCGCTTTAACCTAGCGCTTTTACTGCACTTTGATGTGCTTAATTAAATATATTTTATTTAATATCCAGACTATCGCTGATCCGGTGACCGATGAATAAATTTGCCTTATCATTGATACTCAAAGCTGCAAAGATTAAGGTTTTGTTTGTGACAATTCTAAATGTTGTTCTTAAACATAAAGTTTTAGTTAAAGTTTTTTTAATTTTTATACTAAACACTCGTTTTTAAGAAATCAATAAAAAAGCGTCCAAAATGAAGCCTAAGACAGTTCTAACATGTTTTGAGCGCTTTATTACGATGTTTTTATCGTTATTCGATTTAATTGGGAATCCATAAATTGTATTGCTTTCGGAATTAGGGCATCCCAATTAACGAAAGATGATATGCAAAACAATCAGAAATAATATAAGAATAAAAATAGTTGGATAAGACATCATAATTAATGCTGAAAATTCAAAATGAGAAAAGAAAAAATTGAACGTGTTGAACAATTTTGCGACACCGGTGTATTGGACAATCGGATGGCGAAACGACGGATTGCAAAGACTGTAAGGTGTTCTCGACTAATGAATCTTGGAGCAAGATTCGGGTCAGAAGACTTAGACGAAGTCGAAGAATTATACTCCACAAATATGAAATATCTTCTCATTCTCTTATTTATAAGCTAACCTTATAGCATCAATATAACTGTTTTGCTAAATTATTGTGTTGAAAATATAGATATATGTGAATATGTGTAAATTAATCATGCTTTAGAAGCATAATTATTAGTGTAAACCAAAATTTTCATCAAAAAATAAAATTTTATATAATTAATTACTTTATATTAACCACGAGAATAAACCACCTTGCATGTTAGTAAGGTAGACCAAACTAATTACTTTACCTATTTTGAAAATTTATTATAATATTTTCTTTACCTAGAAAGTAGACTACTATGAATATGGGTTCCGTATATTTGATATAAATCATGAAATATTTTAAGAAAATAATTAATTTTAATAATAATATTAAAATATTATATTTATCTTTATTATGTCACCCCTGTTTTTCAATACAATTATAAAAGCTTGAATAATCTGACTCACTTTCAGTTACATTGCACAAGAGTTTGTTGTTTTTGGCTTGGAGAATGTTTGCACAAATCCTTTTCTCAGGAACTCCACTTCCACTATTTTATTGCAAGTGTGAACTTCTCATTCAGTTACATTCAGCCCAGGGCGGAACTGTGTAATAGGGGTGTCAATTTTTGACCCGACCCGGAAAAATCCGGGTTAGGGTCAACCCGGACCCGAAAAAGGTCGGGTTCGATTTCAACAAATCAACCCATTTTAAAAATCGGGTCGGGTTTGAGTTGAACCAGTAACCCGAAAATGACACGAAAACTCCTATTTGACTCGGAAACCCGAGATTGACCTGTTTTTTACCCGATTTTGACCCGAAAATTGAAGATTGACCCGATTTTTGACCCGAAAAATAGCAATTTTATGTCAACTTTGGGTCATTCGTGTCGGGTCGGGTTGACCCAGACACGAATCAGGTCAGGTTCGGATCCAAAAACCCTCTTGGCCTCCCGCTATTTTCATCCGATTATCCCCCCCCCCCATAAAAAAAAATAAAACTCTTAGTAATGTAAGGGTCATCTATAATTTCCCCCCTTTGAATTTTATTTTTTGACCTGAGCAGACTTTTTTTTTTTTCACACAATTTTCTTATTAAAAAATCGGAAACCCTCTTGGCCTCCCGCTATTTTCATCCAATTACTTTGAACTTTTCTAATACTAACAAACATCTATGAAAACCAATTATTATTTTTGCACCCTTATATATATTTTTATTTATTTTTTATAAATTTGCCAGTTGCCCCCGGAGAATTAAGGCCGGTTCCGCCCTTGATTTTAGCACCTACACTTTTAGGTGCAAGTAACTTCTAGGAAGTGAAATAATGACAAAGCAGCATCAAAAGAGATATAATACTAATGATGTTTAAGTTTTGAGGGCAAAACTTTTTCTTTATCAAATCTCTATGGCTGTATCTGGTAAGAGAAATTGGCAGAGAAGAAATGCAAAAGAAAATGATAAAGAAATTGAATTGAAGTTTTATTGATTGCTTGATTTAGAATAAATGAGTACACAATTATTTTATTTTTTATTTGATTGGGAGAACTGAACTGAGTAAAATAATGATTTTACTCAAATACTCCAATTAAAATTTCAGCATCACCTTATCCAAATATCAAAGTGAAACCATTACATGATTGCAGAAATCTTTAGCAGAAAAAAATCATTACAAAACCAGATAACAAAGACATGACAGTAAGAAATTCCATTTTGGGCTACAAAAATGGATAAGAATGTGATGAAACCTTCTGTTGTTGCTTTGCTTCCCAATTCTTATTTTGATCTTTATGAAGAAGAAGTTGGCAGGTCAGAATACAAATTGGTGCATGGCAGTGGAGTACACACAATACTCAACTAAAAGTTGCTTGCTTACTGTTCTGCTTAGATTTTTTTTCAAAAGTGGTAATGAAAGGCGCATTCATATCATCTTTATTAGTGATGTAGAGCTGGATATTAATATGATTGCTTCAATGTTTTCATTGTTGTCATCTACAAATTGTCATCAGCCACTTGTTGAAGCTATCGGAAGATTTCAATTATTGCCATATGGTGAAGAATGGAAGGAAAACTAATAATTTTCTTGCAAAATAATTATAAATGTGAGCTTTTAGGTAGTGGATACATCTGGAATAGAGTAAGTTTAATGTTTTGCTACGAAAGTATCAACCCAGGAGCAAGTATGATGAATTCTAAAATGAATGTAACAAAAGATCAAATGCGACCGAAAAGAATAATAGAATTTGAATGATTTGGTTCAAGTAAGCTTTTGTCCACAAGAGAGATCGGAGGGAGGGGGAGAGGATCTGATCCATTAATAAATAGGTCAGACATGTGAAGTATGATGTATAGATACACATAAGTTCTTCGCAAAGTCTGAGAATAGCATCACATAAAAGATCAAAAGCCACCGAAAATAATATTGCATTCTTCTTCTCATTCTTTAGGCACCTCCTTGTCTGCGGATAGAAGGAAACCACCCGACCTATTTGTTGCATGCTTTCAAATTATGTTAGTGTCACCATAGTAGAACAAAAGCACTAGTGATCATAAATAGTATCTTTGGAGTAGATATAAGCTCCCTAGGCTGAAATTGAAAATAAATCATTGCTATTTATGTAATTAGGAAA